ATTAGCTCTCAGATCAAAGTCTTCATTTAATCCCAATTATCCTTTCATTGACACCAAAACAGCACTACCAACGACACCTTAGATTAACACCGTTCAGCGGAGGGCAAATAGTTCAGGTGACAAGAAGAAAACCTTTTCCCCTTACTGGCTCACTGAGACCAAATACTGTCCCCCACTGTAACCCTGGCTCATCCTGGTAACTCAGTACAGACCAGGAATCCTACCTAATACTTTCCGTGGTCCATATGCTGCAATTAAGAAGCTTTTAGAGATGCAATTTTTTTCAGCGATTAGTAATTTCATGTCTTGTTGGTTACAATACAATACAACAACAACTCGCACTTATATAGCGCACTCCACGCAGGGTAGTGCCTCAGAGCGCTTAAATACTAAAGTATGTTTGTATAGCGCCTTTCACAAAAGGCTCCCTCTTGGTGACATCATTCGCAGACGTGGGGTCAACTTCCACATGTATGCGGATGACACCCAACTCTACCTCTCTGCCTCCACCTTTGACTCCAAGACCACTGCTGTCCTGACAGAATGTGCCATGACCCACTCTGCCATCCCCCACCTCCGCAACATCTCCCGGCTCCGCCATTGTCTCACACCGCAAGCCGCCATAACCCTCATACGCGCATTCATAACATCCAGGCTTGACTATGCAAGCTCACTGCTTGTCGGCCTCCCCAACTGCTCACTCCGTAGGCTGTAGGTCGTCCAGAACTCTGCAGCCCGTGTCCTCTCCCACACTAGGCTCCATAGCACTATCACCCCCATCCTCACCCTCTACTGGCTTCTTATCACATAGAGGATACAGTTCAAGATCCTGGTCCTCACCTTTAAAGCCCTCCATGGCCTTGCTCCCCCCTACCTCTGCTACCTCAACCCCCTACCAACCTACCCGCCGCCTCCGCTCAGCGGGCTCTGGCCTGCTTCACGTCCCCCGCCTCGCCCACCCCACCATTGGCAGGCGGGCTTTCTGCCACTCTGTCCCCACTCTCTGGAACTCCTTCCCACAGTCCCTTCACCTCGCCCCTACCTTGCCAATTTCAAGACCCACCTCAAGACCCTCCTCTTCGACCGTGCTTTCGATCAAACCTCCTTCCCCCCCGTGCCCTCCACACTCCCCAATCCCAACCCCCAGCTCGGGTCCAAAACACTGACTGTCCAGCGCCTGGGGACAACCTTCTGATGTGAAAGGCGTTCTTACAAATGTAATTTTGTCATTGTTGTTGTTATTGTTGTTCACGTCGGGAGGACGCCGGGAGAAATAAATGCAAGGATTATTATTTTTATTGTTTTGCTGAATTATGCGTTCGTTTCGCCCTTGTGTCTGGATAGTTTGAAAGTTCTGGAGAATGGCACTGTTACCTGCTATCAGCACTGCTTTCGAACGAATACATAAGGTTACACTTAATATATAACCGGCTTTTATGGCTCATAAAATTACAGTGCAAGCACAAAAAATAAACATTTCAAATCTCATCTTATCAGTGCGCAGTGACTCACCATTATCTGACATGGAAAATCAATGCCAATAACACCAATCTCCTTAACCTCTTCCCCAGTTAAATTATGGCATTGTTTTTCTGAGATTTAATGCAAGGTTACCACAGGCATTTCACCTGGAATTCAGCCTAGCCATGAAAATCACGATTTATCTGTGATCCACTTTAGATCCAAACAAATCTGAAACAGACTCGAAAGCCCTCTTTTTTTTTTTGCTCAGACCGACACAAAACATTTTTCTCTCTCACACACACACACACACACAAAGTTGTTGGGACGTGGAATGCCCAGCCAAGTAAGGTGGGAGAGGCAGTGAGGCAATGAATTGTGTGTGTCGCAAAAGGGAAGTGGACAGGTACATGTAAGTGCTTCACAGAATTTACTGTAAAGTGTATGGTGACAACTGTGCATTATGTGGGGCAATGCAACAGCCAAACTGCACTCAGCCACAATGCCTAAAACAGCCATAAAATGAATGACCAAGTCCTGGTATCTTCCCGATCGACTATTAATTAGAGATCTTTCAAACCAGCCAGCCACCTGCCTGCTGATGTGGTGATATTCACTCCAATATATGCATCTGATCTGCTCCTATTTCACTGTCAATATGAACATGCTATATGAAATCACCATCTAACAGCCTTGTTGCGAAAGAGCCTGAGTACAGCGTGTTATCAGATAGAGATCGCGCTGAGATTGGCATTGTAGTCAGCCTGACCAAATTCCAAGGTTACAGTTTCCATTACTTTACAACTGCCCAACTGGTACTAATTGTGTATTTACACCTGCGATTTTAACAAAAAGGACAACTCTTCTAGTGCGTCTGTAATAAAATAGCTGGCTCTTCAGATTCTTTGTCAAGTGAAGACTGACTAGACTGATGGCTGCTGATTTCATGGCTAGGATGAAGTCCAGGTGAAATGCCTGTGATAACTTTGCATTAAATCTCAGAAAAACAATGCATTTATTTTAAGTGCTTATAAGGAGTGAGTTGTGTCAATTTGACATTGATGTATTAGCACATAAAGTCCTCAGTATGATTGCAGGACAGATCATGACCTCCCCTTTATGCGCAGTCCGGATGGGAAGCTAGTCATGGTTGGGTTGTTCTGGTCACTCCAGGCAGTTTCCTGACCACAGACCACATCAATGTTGAAAACAACCAACATACACGTGGGTGAACTTGTTTCAGGAGACTTTGCTCTGAAATAGTTAAAGAAAGTGATTTGAATCAAATACTGTGGGATTTGTTTTCACACAGTAAGGTACTGATAGGGAAAACAATTTGATTTACATTTATCTGGCACCCTTCACACTGGGGGAGGACATCTCAAAGCAGTTGATGTTGATGACAAGTTGGGGTGGGAGCTGGGTAGGAAAAAGATGACTGAAACTGCAGTGAAAAAGGTATATTTTATGGTCTGTCTTGAAAGAGTGGAGGGAGGGAGGGAGGGAAGGAGGGAGTCAGTGGTACTCCAGGATGGAATTCCAGAAATACACATTCCCATACAGATTCCAAACCCATAAATGACAACGTGATGATAAATGACGGCCCCCACCCCCCAAAAAAGATTCCCTCCAATTTCTTCATCAGAATTTCAAGGTAAGATCGCTAACTAAGGTTTATCTTCAAGTTGACGTACACTTGAAAAACCTCTTCTGAACTTCACTGTAAAGCTTCTACTAAACTCTTGTGCAAATGCAATTCTGGGCACAGCCTTTGAGTTTGTGATAAGATAGCTAAATTTGCAGAGCAGAGATTTTTTTTTCTAACCTGCTACACCTTAAACTGATGAAACAATGAGTCACTCAAAAGAGAATTCCTTCTCTGAAAGGCAAGGCACAAACTGCAGTAATCTTCAACCTCACACTGGGCGCAATGTTTGTTTAAAGCAAGTTTCTCCCAATATCAGGTACAGACCCAACTCAGATTTATTTACGCAGATTAATCACAAATAGTTTAAGCAAGGTGAATTCCTGTCACCTTGTGAACTCTTGTCAAAACACTCAACATCCTGAAATTATTAAATATTCTACCTTGAGGAAGGAGAAAAAGCAATTACAGGAATACACTCGATGTATTGAGGTTTAAAAAAATCCTCCTTGCATTTCACAAGGCGCCTTATCACGTCATTGAAATGTCTCAAAGTCCTTCACAGGATTTTATAGCAGTGATTACAGTTGCAGATTTATTTGTTTAAAGGGTTGTGGTGAAAGGATGGCCAAATTGGGATTGAAAGATCTGCCAAGAATCTAACAAATTGGTAGGCTGAATGGCTTCCTCCTCTTCCTGGTTTCCGACGTTCCCGTGATGGTAACAGTTGATCAGGTGTCAGCCAGGCGCATTGAAAGCATTCTCGCCTCTGAGTCAAAAAGTTGTGGATTCAAGCCCTATGTCAAAGCATATGGAATCACACAGTCTAAACTGATGCTCAGATGGAGTTCTGCGGGGTTGCATTGCCCTTCAGATGAGACTTTAAACCAAGGTCCCATCTGCCTGTTCAAGTGGATGTTAAAGATCCCGTAGCACTATTCGAAAAGAGACGAGAGCTTCTCTCAGGGTCTTGGCCAACAATTCCCCAAATAAAATTGGTCACTCACTCCATGGCTGTTTGTGGGACATTGCTGTGCACAAATTGGCAGCATTTGCCTAGTAATACTGTTACTGCGGTTTACCGAAAACCTGTTTATAATAATAAAAACAATAATAATAATTATCCTTGCATTTGATACAGTGCTTTTCACATCTTCTAGACATCGAAGTATTTGAGATGTTTTGACGTGGTTTTGATGTGGAGACCTGTAGCTCAGTGGTTAGAGCACTCGCTTTGCAAGTGAGAGACCTGAGTTCAATTCCAGGCAGAGGGTGAAACCTTGGGCAAGTTTCCTTACTCCACACAGAGCCTAATAATAATCCCTCCAAAAACTAAAAACAATAATTAAATTGGTCATTTTCAATCTACGACTGTTTGTGGGACATTGCTGTGCGCAATTGGCTGCCGCGTTCGCCCACAAATATACAGTCAATTCACTTTACAGTGTGTTCTGTGAAGCGCTTTGGGACGTCCTCCCGACGTGAAAAGCGCTATATCAAATGCAAGGATTATTATTATTATTATATTAAGGCGCTACATGAAATACAAGAATTATTATTGTTATTACCTATTCTCTTTTGTGGTTTCACTTCCAGCCTCAGATTTAGTGAAGAATAAAAATTCAGTTGTTTAAAAGAATCACAGGGCAAACAAAATTAGCAATGCAAAAGCCTGGATCTCACAGGTATCTAGTCAACAACCTAATTATGAATCAATCTCAAATGCTGTGCTGCGGCATTCTAATAAATATATTCCGCTCAATTCCTTTTATGACCATACGCCCAAATGTTGCTTGCTGTTTAGAAGTAAACAATGTAGGTGGCTCCACGAGAGTAATAAGGCAATACACCTTTTTATATTGTGTACACAGCAACTAAGATAAGCGGTTCGCATGAAAACAGGGACGTTGGGTATCTAGATACATTCAAGGCCTTATCGGTGTCATACGCTCACAGTAAGAGAAAGACGGTATCGAGCGTGCCAGAGCAGGAGCAGGGTCAACCTTCCCGTCGTTCTGCTTCCAACTTTAACATGTAGTTGGGGTCGGAACCTTTTTCCTCTGTGGTTAGCAACCAGTGGCCTGGCCACCGACTTGTAACTTTTGGTCAATTCATAATTATGAAGCTTTGTGAACCCCCAATGGACATGGATATGCCTGACTACACTGAAACCTTGGACTCGTCTTACACTATGCTGGAGTTTGACAGCTTGAGGGTTTTGCCACCAAACAACGGTGAGTTATCATGGGTAGGTGAAGTTACTTGTTTTCAATTCTGCAGTCCAAAGATGTGCGTGTTCAAAGCTGCACTTTTCATTTATACTTTAGTAAAGGTTTGAATTCAATGCTAACCACCTCCTCCCCTCCACACGCACACACATACGTACACACACTCACACACATATAAAATGTAGCTATCACTATAATTACACTCATTTCCGTCTTACACATAAGCTTTAATTCCGAACCTTTAAGAACGGATAGCAGAACAACGTTAAATGTTAATTTGGAAATTCAACATCACGAGCCAGTACAAATAAACCTTCTTAAAATCTGGAATTAACAATAACTATCAATTTATAATTACAATTGGCTGCCACGTTTCGTCCACAAAATACACAGTCAATCCACTTTACGATATATTTGGTGAAGCGCTTCGAGGTGTCTCAACGACGTGATAAAGTGATATATCAAATGCAAGGATTATTATTATCAAATTGTAATAAGTATATTTTTATGCATATATTAAAAAAAAATCTTCCACACTGTCGCTAGTGACAAAGCTTTCTGGTGTAACTCAGTGGTTGTACATATATCAGTCTATTGATTAGAGAATGACAGAGAAATTGTCTGATATAAAGTATGTCATTGATGTACTCTTAACAATTAATACTTTTTCTAAACTTGTCACATGCTCCAGTTGTTTTCAATATAAAACAAAGGGAAACAAATATTTTGGAAAATGCACTACATTTATAGGAATTTAGAGACTGGATTTAAAGGCTATTGGTATCTAGGTCACTAGAAGCTTGTTTGTTTTGTAGTTAAAGTTTAACTAGGTTCTGGCTACAGTAGTTGTGTTGAAACTCCGAACTTGCATCCCACACAAACATTATTTCTCCGTGTGTGAACAGTGTAGCTGTCAAAGAGTTAAAATTAAATCTGAGAGCTGAAAGTCTCATGGTCTTAGACTTAAGACCACAGTCTTAAGATGTAAAATTGTACAAAATTTAGCAAAATCGTTAAATTAAGCCTTAAGACGCTTTTCTGCGGCTCTTATAAAAAATTTCCAAAAATTCTGCGTTGCCCCTTTCATATGATTGTTCAACTGCTCTTTAATTCTACTCTGTTAAAAGTCCAGTTCATTTGTTGAAAGCTCAACGTAAAGAAGAGTATTTTTTTAAAACATGCACAATTTGTAAACGTTTCTGAGTTAAATTGTGTTAACTTACCTCTAAAGCATCAAAAAATTACAAGAACACATATCTAATATAGCCTTTGGTGTACAGTACATTTTACATGCCTCAAATAAATCTGATGTGCGTGATTCGAATCCGTTCTGTTTTAGCGTGATCACTCGAGACCCAATAGGCCTGCTCCGTGATTGCTGCCCTATTCCTGTCCGTTTATCATAAAACAACTTAACTCTTGCGGGAAAGAGCGATCTAAGATCTGTGGGGGTTTAAATGTCCGCATTTCTTTTGATGTAACTTTCTCCCTGCGCCGATGTAACTTTGCAGTATATCTTGTAAAGCGCTTTGCGATGTCTCGATGACGTGACAACAACAACAAGTAAGGCCTTATATCAAATGCAAAGATTATTATTATTATTATTATTATTATTATTATCCCCTTACAGTAAAGTCACTCCGCACTTTGAAGAAAGCTCCAAAGTCCTCTCTAACACCAGCAACTTGGTGGACGAGGGAAAAAAGTTGACAGGTCAAAATTTTGTTTCTGTTTTCTTTTTGCCACAAGCACAGGATTTCCCTGCGCTGATGTTTTCTTTCAGACCCGGGTACAGGCGCGCCTCACAGAAAACAAATGCAAACTGGCTTTGCTTTGTTGCTCAGGGTAGTGAGCGTCACTATGTGATCTCCTGCGCTGGATTGCCCCAGTATAAGACCCTCTTAGCAGCAAGAGAAATTTCACCCTCACTCTCTCTTTGCTCTTATTGAACCTGAGATAGTCTCTGAAATAATGCCTCCTGGTGTCTGCCCTGATATTACCCTTCGCGTCCCTGAACCTGTGCCCTCGTGTCCTGCAGCCTTGATGCATCTGAACATATTGTCCTGGGCTGACTTTCTCAATCCCGTTTACCACCTTACGCAGCTCCGAAAATGTGCTCCCCGAGATGTTTCTTTTCAGGGCTACAGAGTTCTTGCCTATCTAGCTGTTCCTCAAAAGTTTATCCCTCTAACACTGGGGATGATACTTGTTGTCTTCTGTAAAGCATGGCAGTTTGGCAAAGCACTACAGAATGTCACTCCCCCCCCACTTGCAGATGTATACAGTATTGATTGGCAGTGCACAACACAAACAGCCACCCTCGGATGACTTATAACCCGAATGAGATGACAATCATTGCATTGAAGGTTTCAAAATTGCCATCATTCCTGCTCTCTATCAGCAAACTATTGCCCTATTCACACCATCTCATTGTTCCTCCGCACAACATGAAGGATGGTTTGGTGCTCATCCTGTTATATAACACAGGCAAACAAATCCAAATGGTTTGGCAAGCGGTGACATGCATTGCCTCAGTTCCTAAGTGCAAACGGATTCTATTCTGTTTCACAGCGCTTATAAAACGTTCTCGCTTTCGACAGGGAATTTCAAAGCATTTTCCTCTCACGGCATCTCATTTAAACGCTCTTGTGTTTCCTTTGTGAAGGCTGATCCTGCGGGAAAACACTTATTTAACCGCAGAGATGAAGCTCGTCTTGAAGTTTCATCTCCAAATACTTAAAGCAGCCAAACAGGATCATTTCGAACCAGATGTTATGCCAAAGTAGGGTGTTTTGTGTGGGTTTATTTGGACCCAAAGTGTAATCAATTACAAACTATCTCAGCATAACCAAAGCACCTGTATAAAATAAACCTTCCTCCTCGTTGAGTATTTTATGTATTTGGATGTATATCAAACAAAGCCTCGAGAACATCCAGAATCATTGGAAAGCTGCCATCTCCTTTGATCTTTCATTAAAGCCGGTTCAGTAATACTGAAGCATATGCATGTTTGTATCCGTGTGATATTAAACCGGTTTGTTGGTACGGTCAGCAATGCCCTGGCATGCAAGTGCCACAGTTATGGAGGGATATAATACCCATGGAGTTCACACACAGCGAGCTCCCAATCCCACTCAATAGGGTGGAGAGATCAGGAGATGTTCAGAGAGGGTATATATTTTCGGAGGGGGATGGGGGGGGGGGGGAGTGTTATATTTTCTGATTATTAAAGTAATAATCTCCACAGTAGTGTGAGTTCTTAAATGATTTAAGGTCATCATAAATAAAGTGCAATTTGCTTCCTGAGCTTCGGTACAGAATGGCTCTGTAACTCTGACTTGTTAAAACTTCCTTGTGATCTCACCTCACTGATGAAAAACTGCATAGCATACGTATGCAGACAGCTGTGTAAGTGAGTTCTCATTCTGCCTCAATTAATCAGTAAGAATTCATTTAAAACCACAAGTACCTGAACAAACGGTGTTTTGGAGCAATTATAGGGAACTTAAATAATCTACGTGTTAAGTCCATGCTAACCGCATAACTTTGTGATGAATTAAGCATTTGAATAATTGATCTTTAAAGCTTTTATAGTTTCAGGTGCTGAAAATTTGCCAAAAGCTTGTTATATGCCAAAGCAATCTGGCCCCTTTTCAGGTCATTTTTTAAGCTAATTGTACAATCCTTGTGATAAATAGCCAAGTCATCATGTAATTTGATGTGGCGACAACACTGGTTACCATTGCAAATTCGACCTGCGAAATCCAATACACCAAACAGGTTATGATATTGATCAACTTAAAACACTAATGGGAGCATAAACAATGCAGATCTAAACATCACATTACTCCTGCTCGGTGGTTGTCAAGGGAAAAGGACAGCAATGATTTTGAAAAGAACATAAAGGTGGGAGAAAGGTGAGAGCAGTTAGAAGTCAAGTGTCAAAGAAAGGAATGACTAATTCATTGGTCGTGGCTGTTTGTACCCGTTATTGAGAGGCTCATTGGAGCGTGGGCCATTTTAAGTGTCGACATCACCTCCTGTGCATTACGCATGCACGTGTTTGCGCAGGAAGTGCTGCTGATGGCACTTTGCGAGGGCAATGACTTAAGCGGTGCTTCTTGTGCAGAGCAAGGAACATGCAGGAAGCGACGTCAGCAGCGACTTGATGACGCAGAAGCGGGCCATTTTCTCTCACTCGCTTTGCACGCGGTGACTTTGAGATCTTGGACCTGCACAAGCCCATTACAATGGAGTCGCCTCATAATAATCTTTGTATTTGATGTAGCACCATACCACGTCAAAACACCTCAAAGCTTTTCACGGGTATTTGCTGTCACGTGTATTGGGAGGCAAACACAGCTTTGTAGTATTTTAAGTCCGTTATCTGCCAAGGGCTTGCCACGTTGCATTGACTGTTACTATTTTGCAGAACCCATTATGTCCGAGGCTGGTAACAATAACGTGCTAATGAGCAATGGTGTAACGAGTCTGTGTGCAATCTGTGGGGACCGGGCAACAGGGAAGCACTACGGGGCTTCCAGCTGTGACGGATGCAAAGGATTCTTCAGGAGAAGCGTGCGAAAAAATCACGTCTACTCGTGCAGGTGGGGCTGCTGTTTCAGTACTTCCCCGGGTTACTATCGATTAATTATCACATTGCTGATCCTATCGTTACACTTCAGTAACTGAAGCCGTAATCAAGATCACGTGACAGCACCACTGTGATCCACACAGATATATGGTTACCACTCGAAGGTTATCAGTTAATATCTATCAGTAACTGTCGTGCCAATTACACTGGTTTCGGTGTGGTGGCGTGCAATGCTGATACAACTACAAAGATGATTGATAGAGAGACTTGGAATTGGAATGTGCCCAAGACTGACCAAATCCGACTGCAGTCGGGAGAATTACGATGAGGTCCCGGGAGGTGGTGGGGCAGACAGTATACCAGTATGTAGTTTGGGACATGACATGTGCAAGCCACTGCCGAGGTGGTGGAAAGCGAACTGGATGGACCTTGGTCTTCTTTCATCTGGCAATTCGTACGATAGGAGGTTTTCTGAGCTGCCAAGAGGTTGGTTAATGCCGCTCTTACCATTGAGTGAGCAATAGTAACTCTCATTTACATACGAGTATAACCGTATACTGTATTCGCTGCTCACGATGTGGTCTCCTCTACACTGGGGAGACCAAACACGGATTGGGTGATCGATTCGAAAGCACTGTCAAAGAGCTAGGTTTTTAACAGAGATGGAGTTGTAGAAAGCAGGGACTGAAATAAGATCACTGTGTGCGCGAGTGTGTTTGTTCGTTTGTGGAGGCTTTTCACGAGTGCCGTTACACAGATCCTTTTGAAGACTGGCGCAGAAGAATTTTTTGACCAAGAAAAAACACTAACACTGGTGAATTTTTCCATCCTAAGGTTTAACAGACAATGTGTGGTTGACAAAGACAAAAGGAACCAATGTAGGTACTGCAGACTCAGGAAATGCTTCCGAGCTGGTATGAAGAAGGAAGGTAATTCGTGATATCTTCTGTCTAACTTTTTCTGGCGTCAGATCTCAAACAAACAGTACTAAACTGTGACCAGTTCACAATCCTTAATGATTCTATCTTCTGTCCCACAAGGACCCCCCACCTGTGTCAAGGTGCAATTTTCAGAGCTTATAACTGATTATTTCCACACTGAGCCAGGAGTTAAAGTTCCAATGTAAGGTTCAACTGAAACTATATCATTCAATGGGGTCTAAGCACTTTGAGACGTCTTGAAGATGTGATAAGGCTCTATAGCGAACGCAAGGATAATTATTATTATTTGTGGATAGTCCGAACAGGTCTCAACGAGAAAAGACAGTGAGCCCTCTTCTGGTAACCTGAAGTACATTGAATCTCTTAAGCTAACTTGTGGGAGCTCAACTTTAAAAGTTGGCCCACACAAAATTTTCCTTAAACTGTTGCCAACTTCGGCAAACAGTTTAAGGGATTTAAGATCCTCAGGTCTATGGTTCAAACAAGAAGCAAGAAGGAAAATCCTTGATCTGGACACTTTGATATAAGAAACATACACCAAATATGTGAATGCAGATTGCCATCTAGTGGTACATTTCTATGACGCTATTTTTCTCGTCGCTTAAAAGACAGGTTCAAGAAATAGTTCAGTGATGCAATAAAGGGAGGACATATTTTGGGAGAATGAGATCAAATTGAGATGAGATTGCGTTTCACCCACAAGATACACAGTCAATCCACTTTACAGTATATTCTGTGAAGCGCCTTGAGACGTCTCAAAGACGTGATAAGGCTCTATAACAAATGCAAATCAGCCAAAGGACCTTTTTCTCCAAACCTCTCCTGTGAACTTTTACCTTTTTACTTTAATCATTATAAACTTAATGTTTTACTCTAAAAACACGGTGAAGTCAGAGGGAAATGTGACGCTTTTTTTTTTGCATCTCATAAGACGGTCATTCTTCTCTGGTGGCAGAGTGTCCAGACAAATGCTGTTGAGTTGCAAGTGTGCAATCGTTGGTTTAAAAATATGTGCTCGGGTGGTTGAGGCCAGACAGTGGGACTCATTCAATGGGACTCGCTTGGCGCTATGATGTGAAGTGTGGAGGGTGGGTTTGCTGGAAGTGTACGCTCTCAGGTGACCTTCTTAGTCCGAACCAATCTTGCGGCGATGTGATCCGATCTGTCAGCTTGCCAATGTCACTCTGAGCTGTCGAACACTGGGTAAAGCTTTAACCGTGACTTTTGTTACTTTGTGAAGCTGTGCAGAATGAGAGGGACCGAATCAGCATTCGCAGGAGTAGCTATGAAGACCTCGGCTCGCTTTCAATTAACACACTGGTCCAAGCTGAAGCAATGGCCCAACAGGTAACTACACTTTAGGTGTTTGCCTGTAAAACACACAGTTTCTAAAGTTCACAGTAAATCCCGCAAAGCGCTGATGAGACATCCATCCCCTGATGTGAAAGGCGCTGTATCACAATACAAGTCTTCTTATTAAAACTGACGTAATGACATTAGCTAAAGCCAAATTAACCCCCTAACGTGGCTGGTCGTTCCCACGCAACGCGCTGTTATGGAAACATCCACGAGAAAAAAATGACGGTTTTCTTTGGGGCAGATTTCTGCTTTTAACCCCGTGCATCACGCTGAGATCGCGATGAAGAAAATGGCAACAATCAACGATGTGGGCGAGTCCATGAAGCAGCAGCTGCTGGTGCTTGTGGAATGGGCGAAATACATCCCGGCCTTTTGTGAGCTGCCACTGGACGACCAGGTCAGTCAGCCACACAGCAAACCCCTCCAGCGCCTTGGGATCGTCCTCCCCCCCCTGACAAACGTGGTTTGTTGTTGCTGCTGCTGCTTTTGGGTGCGGTTTTAATAAAGACAATTGCTTAACAGACCTTCCTCTTCGACCGTGGTTACGGTCACCTCCTCCTTCCCCCCCGGCTCGGTGTCGTGCTCCGCCTCTGTCAAGCGCTCTGGATGCTATCCTGCGTGAGAGAGAGGCGCTATATACTGTTGTTGTTGATAGTCCAGAGTGCTTTGCTATTGATGCCAGTGTTTTACACCCGGGCTCTAACGTGTAGCTCTGAGTATAATGGGAGGCGGCTTTGCTCTTTGCTTGACCGCTGTTTTTGTTTCTCCGCAGGTCGCCTTGTTAAGAGCGCATGCCGGGGAACACTTACTGCTGGGTGTAGCCAGACGCTCAATCCCCTACAAGGACATCCTCTTACTCGGTATGAATTCTCTCTCCTCTTTTGAAAACAGTGAAGAAAGGATTTGCGATGTCTCCAATAAACCATTTGCGCCACTGGAGTTCTGCTTCTTCCCATATATACCGTAGGGGTGAGGGAGGGAGGGGGGTGGGGCAGTGTGAGGAGGGAGTGTGATGATCCCAACATAGTGGTAAGTTAAGTTTGCCAGCAAGTGTTGGACATAAATGAAGAGGAATAGGTTGGAGACAACGTAAACTGCAGCAGTTTAGAAGTGTTGGGGTGAGATTACTAGTCTGGACAATCGCTTGTCTTTTTCTTTCAATTTTGAGCGCTCAGCGTCGGTTTTCGCAAAGCTCACTCGTTCAGTTTTATTGTTGGCGTCAGTGTTAGAGGTCGATAGTGGGGCACGGCCCAAGTAGATAAGACGTAACTGCTTCCTGGCTGAAGGATTGATGATTTTCTCTCCACGCTGAGAATGCTGAGGTCAATAGCATTGTTCTGATTGATATCGGCAAGGGATCGAACTACAGAACCATAGAAAGTTACAGCACAGAGGAAGGCCATTCAGCACATCTTTGTGGGGCTTTGTGCGGAGTGTAAAGACCAGTGTAGACTTGTTGGAACAAATGGCCTTTTTCGTTACTGTACCACTCCTTTTTCGTTGCTGTATCACTGCTGACTCTACGGACAATGGTTGGGCCTAAATTACTGCTGCGCTCTCGCTCACGAAGAACAATGTCTTTATAGAGTATAAGTAGGAAAGTGACTTAACTAATATCAAGGGCACTCTCACCTCCAAGTCAGAAGGTTGTGGGTTTAAGCCGCACTTTGTGCCCTTTGAGCTCAGTAGTCTGTGTATTTTTGGGGCCCGCTTAAGCAGATATCCGAAACAGCAGATCTTAAAAGATTTCCGACCAACCATTGTTTCGTATTTAAAACTAATACTAATACTAATCCTTGCATTTGATATAGTGCCTTATCATGTCTTTGAGATGTCTCAAAGCACTTCACAGAATATACTGTAAAGTGAATTGACTGTATATTTGTGGGCGAAATGTGGCAGCCAATTGCGCACAGCAGTGTCCCATAAACAGTCGTGATTGAAGAGACCAATTTATTATTTTTAATTTTTTTTTTGAGGGAATTACCTCCACCTTCAAATCCGCCAATCGACTAAAAACTGGGTTCCAACCTACTGCTGGGTAAACAGGGGCGTGTGGAGTAAAAACTGGTCGATAATTGGCGCTGGTTAATAATTACCACATCGGGTCTGTTATGAATCATCACATGTTGTTAACGCCTAAATTGGACCATCACTTTACAAGATATCTGCACCGAGAGCGTGGAAATAAAATAACAGGATGGTGGGAGGGAGGAATGTCACGTACCTACTGGATCTCACAAGCTGGGTTCCACTCTCACAAAATGGCTCCCCGCAGGAAATGACTTCATCATCGCCAGGTACTGCCCCGAGCTGGAGATTATGCGTGTGGCCAGCAGGATCCTGGATGAGCTGGTCAAGCCCCTGCGCGACCTGCAGATCGACGAAAACGAGTTTGCTTGTCTGAAAGCCGTGGTCTTCTTCGATCCAGGCAAGTCTCAATCCCGATCGACAGGCAGATTGGTAGATGTTTGGCAGGTCAGGGTGTCGGGGGATATTGGGGGCAAAGCAGGAAATTGGAATAGACAGGCTTAGTTGAGGTACAGATCAACCATGATCTAATTGAATGGCGGAACAGGCTCAAAGGGCTGAATGGCCTACTCCTGTTGCTATGTTACTGTGACTCTAGGCAAGAGGTGTCAACCTCTTAACCCAGTCCACGGGCACTCTCGCCTCCGAGTCAGAAGGTTGTGGGTTTAAGCCACAGTTTGCGCCCTCTGAGCTCATATTGTCTTGGCTGACACTCCGTCACACTGCTGTGTGGCTTCTGTCCTTTGCATGAGGCATTCAACTGAGGAACACTGCCATTAAACCAGTCTGCGCCTGTCTGTTCAGGTGGAGTTTAAAGATTGCACGTGGCTGCTAGAAAAGAGAATGGAGTTCCTCCCGATGTCCCTTGCCCACGGTTTTCTTTTTTGATCTCTTATTATTACTCTCTTATGAAGGAGAACAATGAGATTTCCGGTTCCATAGAGAACCAAGAACAAATATAAGAACAACAAATGACATTCACACAGGGCCTTTCACATCGGGAGGACGTCCCAAGGTGCTGGATTGGACAGTCAGGGGTTTGGACCCGAGCTGTGGGTTGGGATCAGGGAAGGGGGTGGATGGCGGGGAGATTGGGAGCAGTGGGGGGGGGTAACCATCTGAGAATTTTGCTTTCTTAGATTGCAGAGGCATCAGTGACTCGGCGAAAATCAAAAACATGCGATTCCAAGTGCAGGTGAACCTGGAGGATTACATCAACGACCGACAGTACGATTCCCGCGGGAGGTTCGGTGACATCCTGCTGCTGCTGCCGTCCCTGCAGTCCATCACCTGGCAGATGATTGAACAGATTCAGTTCGTCAAGCTCTTCGGGGTGGCCAGAATCGACAACCTCCTGCAGGAAATGCTCCTGGGAGGTCAGGCTTGGTTTTTATTGTGTGCTTTGCTTTTGTTTTCGAGCGCTCCGGGGCTCTGCCCCGCGTGAAAAGGCGCTATATCGATGCAAGTTGTTGTTGTTCTTGCTTTTGCTTTTTAAGAAACGTGGCGGAAGAGACGTTAACTCTATAACTAGGTTTTTCGGGATTCCTCCTCCCCATCCTCACCCTTGAGACCTCCCCCACCCCCAAAATAAAAGGTTTGAAATCTCTTTAAAATCCACTATATTTCGAGCTGGATCATCATCAGTGATAATACAGTCACTCCAATTCACCGTACAAAGCCTGTGAAGCGCTTCAAAACGACTCGACGAAACGATAAGGCGCTAGATCCAATGCAATGATTATTGCACGTCTCTGTAAAAAACACGTGCCATTACGTCTCATTGTGAATCTTGTGTACAATGAATCCACTAACCTGAATTAAAACATCAAGAGAGTTTGTTAATTAATACTCACCTTCCTTTTAATACCCCCGCAGGGTCCACTAGTGATGCAGTGCAATACGCCCACACTGGCCATTCCAGTATGTCCCACGGTCATCTCAGCGCTCACGCAGCGCTACCTCCAAGCATTCCTTCAGGAATTCACTCTGTTCAAGACTGTAAGTTTCCTATATAGAAATTGTCCAACTCATTCAAAACTCTTCTTCTCATATCTTCACCCGCACCAACCCTCTTGCCCCCTTCCCCCTCCCCCAGCACTTGCCAGGTTCCACTGATTCCCTGTTGAAGAATGGCTCAACTTCAAGATCCTCACATTTACCTGCGAGTACCTCCTTGTCTCAGTACCTCCCACCTGCTCAGGCCCTGCTCCTCTACCCACCTTCTTTGTTCATCCAGCTCGGGCCTTTTGCACATCCCTCAAACCCCTCCGCTCCACCATTGGTGACTGTGCTTTCAGCCACTATGCCCCGACCTTCTGGAATTCCCTGCTCAATCCCTCCACCTTCTCCTCTCTTCAGATCGCACCTGAAGACTTTCCTCTTTGACCACGCTGACCGGCACCTCCGCTTTCTCCCCAGCTCAGCGTCAAACCACGCCATTGTTCAGCGCTCAGAGCTGCTTGCCTGAAGAAAGCAATATAGAGTGCTCTAACCACTGAGCTACAGGAGTCCTGAAGCCCAGTGGTTAGAGCACTCACTTTGCAAATGAGACACCTGAGTTCAATTCCAGGCAGAGGGTGAAACCTTGGGCAAGTTTCCTTACTCCACACGTCTAATAATAATCCCTCCAAAAACAAAAACAATAATAAATTGGTCATTTTCAATCCACGACTGTGTGTGGGACACTGCTGTGCGCAATTGGCTGCCGCGTTCGCCCAAATATACAGTCAAATTCATTCTACCGTATATTCTGTGAAGCGCTTTGGGACATCGAGAAGACGTGAAAAGCGCAATATCAAATGCAAGGATTATTATTATTATTATAAAACTAACTTATAGCTTCTGTTTTATTTTTCCACTTGTTTATCCGCAGCATCTCCTGATACCCCACTGTCTTCACCATCCCCTGGTTCTGGAAATGAAGACTATAAACTACGCTCAAGAGGACAAATCACAGCTCCTTCCGCACGGATAGTGCCTCATGCCATTATACCTAAGCAGGAGATATTGTGAAACTAAAAAAAAATGCCGATGCCCTTAAATTTACTGTTAAAACACCTGCACCAGAGTCATCGCTTACCAAGCAGAAGTAGTTATTGTTTGATGTACATAAAGGAGAATAATTGCTTGTGCTTTCACTTAGTGTCCCCTGACTGCCAACAGAATTATGAAGCGTGAAATGTTAACAGACATTTTGCACTTCAGCAATATGTACAGAAGAGTCAGGTTTAATAAAATTTGGATGGTCGTAATTCGGAGACACTTGAGAAAACGAATGTTGATATTTTCCATAAATTGTTTGAAAGTTTCCTGTGTTCTCACACTGACTGTAGCCATTTGCAGAAATGGGGTAGAATATAAACTTTAAATGATTTCTCCCGAGAGTTTGCCTCAGACTCGGTGCTTCCATGGGCAGTGACAGGGCTGCTAAGCTCCAATCAGCATCATTGCCCATACCCTAGAATTTCACCAGAGCGTGAGCAATAAGGGATGAAATTTTGGCGACACTACTAACTGTTGCTACTTTAATGAAAATCTCAGAATTGCGGACGAGCTTTCTTCAACAATATATTGCGATGACTATTGTCTTTAATATTAAGCGAAGACACATTTCAAATTTGAAGCACTTATCCAAATCCCTGGCTCTTTCATTGTGTAAATATGAAAGCAATCACAACCAATTCTAAAGTGACGACTGATATTGCAATGCAATTTATTTTTGTACTTCTCTGTGCAGTAATTTGGTATGAGAACAGTTTGGAGTATATCGAGTGTGAAAAACAGAAGAGTAGCTTCTCACCAGAAGCAAATTTCCCACCCAGGGACCATTGTAAAACAGATAATAAAATCAGGAGTTGTCCCGTGGCTGAAATATTGGGTTTTTAATTTTTTTTAATTTTTGGCAATTTTCTGGTTCATTCACGTTCATTAACATCTGAAACTCCCTCCTCCCCTCTACCCCTCTATATCCCCACCCCTCTCTCTACCTGTCTTTAAGTCCATCTTAAAAGCTACCTATTCAACACGCCTTTGATCAATTCCCTCCTAAAACACTCCAGGATGTTATGCTACTCAAGGGTGCTATGTAAATACAAGTCACTGTTGGTGAAAACATGCATTTTCAAAATAATGTAGAAACCTTTTTGTCTCATCAAAGTTGAACGGATTCGAAGACCTTGAGGCTACTAGCTAAAAAAAGCTACTTGTCTTCATCCGCTGCCCTTGCTATTGTGAAAATACCTTCACTATACTTCAGCACACACAACATGAGCAAAGGACAGTTTTGAACAATTTATGCGTGGGTGCTATACATCATATTCTATATCAACTAGTCCTTTATTTATACATCCTGACAACATTTATACAGCCAGTTCTTATATTTCTGCCCAGGTGAGGATAGCTGTAATAGGCCTGAGAGTTGATGTGATTATTTTATGCCCAGTGGGCATTGCGGAAGCCCAGGAATATTTATTCTACATTTCACCTGGCAGACCTTTAGGAAAATGTCTGAGTTGTTATCATATACTATTTAAGTTTGACTTGCAACAGAATACCGAGTTATTTCATAGTATTGAAAAGAATAGCATTGGACAGCTATTCCCTTCAGAGAGATTTATATGCTTGGTTATTTTGAGCTAGTCCACTGGGGGATAGAAAGAGACACTGGTTGGGGACAGATGTCTCAACACACCACTCAAGCTATATCTTCCAGCACTAGTAAAGCAGTAGCTACAAGAAGACGACCAGTAGAATTGTATGCAGTCTGGTCTGACCTGCCCTCACAACCAAGAGAAAACGGGGTGCAGGAGTAATCATTTGGAGAAATTAAATGGGGAAAAAAATTGCACATTGTTGTGACATTAGTAAATTACGACTGCTCCTTTTGATGTGAGTAATGGGAAAGTTCCAGTGATACTAAATTATGTAGCTTTCAGTGGATATGCGTACACAAGTACTGAAGAGAACACAAGTAGCAAGAACCTAAACTTAGTCCCAATAAACCTCCTTAGCCAATAATCCAGCTGTTACCATAAGGTTGTTACGTATTCATATTCAAGGGCAGACTCAAATTTAACACGGGGTTGGACTTTGGCTTAACCACAACATACTGTGGAGATTAACATGATGGGTGGTGTGTATTATACTCTAAAGGTGTTACGTGGTATTGGGGAAGGTTGCAGTAAAATTCTGCGATTCAAAAATTGCTCCCTGCACTTACTGTCTGTACTGTTTGAGGAGACTAACCTTTCAACATTTTCTGAAGCCAGTACTGACTGACAGAGGTGACAGATGTTATTCAGATGATTCCCAGCCTCCAGCTTGTGAAAAATAATGCTGCAAATTCTGCAATGTTATGATACAGAACACTGGCTCAGAGGTCATCGATCTGAAGGTGATGACACAGAAACCATGTCAGTTGATATCTTTCTCCCCTTGGTTATTGAGCCAATAGTTACTTGCTATTCTCCAAACTATTGCTTGAATATTAAAATGGAACAGTAAGATAGCTTAATCGCATAACAAGTCTACTTCATTTGCATCAGGGAACAAAAAAAACTTTTAATGTGTATTGAACAATTCTCACAAAGTCAAAACCCAGATATTTCAGGCAACACTTCATTGCCTAAAACTTTCAGACTGAGGTGCTTGTGTATGTTAATACTGTGGACGTCAGAGTAAGGAAATCAGGTGTTGTTACAATTCCACGTATTTCAAGAATTGAGCGATACCATGTCAAAATAATGATACCATGTCAAAATAATGCTTCATAACAAAAGGTATCAAAATAGCATAGAATTCCTCCATTACAGTGTCATCTTTGCAAAAAAAAAATAATGGAAACCACAAAAGCAAGGACAACTGACAGCAGAGATGTAAAGCAGCACATCAGGATTCTTCTATTTCTACTGAGTTTTTAATGAAATGAATTTTTCCAGATGTGCACATATGTAGACGCAGAACCAAACACTCAGAATTCAGAAGCTGGAGATTTTAATCGTAATAATCCTTGTATTTGATATAGCGCCTTATCACGTCTTTGTGATGTCTCAAAGCGCTTCTCGGAATATACTGTAAAGTGAATTGACTGTACATTTTGTGAGCGAAACGAGGCAGCCAATTGCGCACAGCAGTGTCTCACAAACAGTCGTGGATTGAGTGCTAAGATTCGCATCGAACAGACTCATTTATCATTCAGCAGATTTAGTCACTGAAATGTGGTTATTTTATTTTCCTCTATGGAAACACTGCATCTGCAATAACAAGCTGTTCATGGACAGACACATACTGTGACTTAGCAGGTCATGTTTCACAAACATGCAGCATTTTGGCAAACGATTTCTCATACAGTCATTTGAAGATTCTCTCCAGCAGGAAAGAAAAGAGGGAAGACAAAGTAGAGATAAGGGAGGTGATAAAAGATCTTCACGGGTGGTTTTGTAGCATATATTAGGCACTAATTAAGGCAGCTGGTCCTCTGAGTGAGAAATATTTGAAGAAAAAAAAGTAATAAAGTCCAACTGTACATAAAGTTGTAACTATGGTAAACAAATATGAAAGCTTTGTAATATTTCAAATTCCGTCCGTCCACCCCCAACCAACTAAAAGAACGCATTGTGATTTATAACCTGAAGAGAGGATATTCCATCCTCTCTGATACATTGCTGGCGAGAACCCTGTACTTTTCATTTCCAATATCTTGTCCCCAAAATAACGCACAATATAAATTTCTGGAAGTTAATATACGAGGCTAAAATATCATTGCGCTGAGAATAATTTACAAAGCATTGACTAACTGTCTCAGTAACCCACTTGTTAAGTATTTTTGAGGTGTCACAGATTTCTTCTATAATAATAATCCTTGCATTTGATATAGTGCCTTATCAGGTCTGTATATTTTGTGGGCGAAAAGCGGCAGCCACCTTCTCTAAGTGTGAGGTAGGGGGATATGGTCTCTCACGTACCTACGGCAGGGGAAAGAGAAAACGAGGTCCGATGGCAGGATTTAGCTTGAACGTGCCCATGTACAGTATTGATGAAAACTATTTTCATTTTTTTTAAAAAAAGAAAGAAACATTTGAATAAGTTCATGAACAGTTAAAAGTAGAAAAAAATATTAAAGTAGTAGAAATTGTTGAATTCAATCAGGACCAGTAATTGAATTAGTTCACACAATATTACGCTGATCGCATTTTTTTTAACAGGTTGAGTAAAGCTGCAAACTCGGGTGACTGTAGGATTGTACAAACACACTTGGCGAGTCTTCCTTCAGGAAAGGCAGATCAACCAGAATACAGGAGGATTGAATTGCAAACAGTTCATTTTGTAGACAAAATTTTCTTAGAATCATTTCTTTGATATTAACAGAACATGTCATATGTCAGACAATCCACATGTTAAACCAACTCAAGACTGATTACACTTTGTTCTGGCACATTTGCTGGATTTTCGATCTTAATGTTAAAAAAATAAAAACGCACTAACTCTGACCCGCTCTGTGCGGGTATTCAAAGAATCACGAGATTCGAAAAGTCCATCCAGTTCACATCTGGCCACTCTGCAATGGTTAACATGTACTTCTTGTTTCCTGCGATGTTATCATTTCCCACTGAAGAAGTTCAAAGGAAAAAGTTTTTTTTTTGTATTTAATAAATAGGAAGGGATTCACCTTCTCGTGGGTATTTCCTTTCTGAATAGACAGACACACAAACATTATCCAAAAAATGTGACTTTTAAACTCATTTAGATTTTTGGAGATTTAGCCTCACCTTAATACTTCACATTTCACTAGGTTCTGCTGGTAAGCTGTCCTACCACATCCACTGGGTAACTGGCACGTACCTTCATGTTTTATATCTTCTAAAGTACAGCTTGTACTGGTTTAGTGTCAGAAATTGAGCACTGTAACACTCTAATGAGCTATAATTATTATAATATACCCATTTTTGTCCAACGTTTCAACTAATGTTTGAGATTTGGAGCAGGACAAAAAGCAATGTCTAGGCTGCTGATCCAGATCACCAAGAACAATGTGACCAGCGACATTTACCAAAATTATACCTTTTGTGTCAAAACTTGAACACAGGTTTATCAGATATTCAACTGAATGTGACTGGCAAGGTTATATATATATATATATATATATATATATATTAAAAAACAAATTAATCAGTTGCACCTTTAAGTCAGTTTTCAACTTGCTTTTATGTTTCAGAGGACCAGAAACAAAGAATGGAACTTTTTTTTAATTCATGCTAAACAACCATTCTACATTGTACAGTACAGAAAGGAAATGGCATGAAGACATTTTCTATCAATGTTAGAAACAACCACCGACAGTCTGCCACTTACATATCACCTGTTCGCTTCAATAAAACATGACTAAATAAATAAAATTAAAAAGACGTTTCATGTATAATATAAACTTTGGATTACTGAAAACAGTGCACACCCATACCACAGACAGGAAAGAAAATACATTCCAGACATTTTGAGAAATCAAATTTACATGAACTGAAAAAATAAACCTTCTCCTTCATCCTAGTTCCTTTTTATAAAAAAAATATAAAACTAGATAAAGAAATTATTCCACTCTAACTCATGAGGTTTATCACACGTGATTCACAAGTACAGTGCCTAAAACTGACTTTCGAAATGGATTTGAAAACAGATGAACTGAAAAATGACTACAAATTTCCTTTTTTAAAAAAACAACATTTTGAACCGAAAACACTAAATTAATACCCAATGCATTGCGGTTTACATCAAAATATTTCTGATTATGTAACAAATGGTAATTTAATGCAATACTCCAAGACCCAGACTGTGTAGTGATATATACAGGGGAGTAATAGGACTCTTGTAACAGCTCATGAAAAGCTTCAGTTTGATTTTTGCAATCCATTCTCAGAGGACGATGGCTGATGGAGAATTCTGTCAGTTCACTAGTTCCAGACTTCATGAAATTTGCTCATAATTAGGTTACTATGTTCAATTTGCAGCAGGCAGCAGTTATTACTCCATAGGACCGCAGCAGGCGGTTACTTAAACGCACTATGTCTTTTGTGCTAATTTTATTTTAATATCGGAAAGAAATTACTTTGCAAAATATTCTTCCAACTGAGAATCAGACATCGAATTCAGCCCCTCCTTTCCTTGTTCTTGAAATGAGTCGCCTGATTCGAATCCCCGAAAAAGGACTAATCCACAGAAAAGAGGGCTGACCTCCGAAAACATTTTTCATTCCCTCCCATCGCAATTTCCTTTCCCAGGTTGGTTTTTCGTTTTTCAAGCGTTCAATTTCCTGTGTGATAAAGTTCGGAGTGTTAGATTGACTAAGGAGGCAAAATACCGAAATTAGAATACAGATGAATTTTGCCATTGTAGGGAAAACCAATATAAACACTGCAGCCTCCTGGCCCACAGGCTGTTTCTGATTTTGTTTTGTCATCAGGAATGAATTTATCTGCTGTGAAACCTGCCGCAGTTTCTTCTAAACTCTCTTTACAATCCCCAGAATTGAAAAGCTCAGAACAAGCTTGTCTTGAAAAGCAAAGATTCCTGTTTTGGATAAATGCTTTGAAAACACTCTTGTGCTTGTGCATTTGTAATCAACACACATACACACACTTAGGCTGCTTTACCACTTTGAGCCATCAATTTTGAAAACAAGATTAAAATGAAAACAAATGCACTCTTATGAAAATAAAATACTAAAAAAGGGCGATTTTTTAGTATTTTATTTTCATAAGAATGCATTTGTTTCCAAATTGCTTGCAATCTAAAACTTCAATCTAAACTCTTGTAAGTAAATAAATTAAGACAAAATGTCTTAAAGTTGTAATTTAGATATGTATCTGGATAAGGCACAAGTCTCATACTTCCAACAATTATGTCTGTATCTTGTTAGAAAATCTAATTCTGTCCCCACACGCACAATTTCCAACAAGGGTCCTTGGATTGTCAACAGGAGAACTTCCCCTCACTGCCTAATACCCCCTCACCCTTAGTTAAGAGGCAATCTTTGCAGCTCAATGGAGCCCATACTGAATATCATGAGGTAGTAAATTTAACCAAAAAAATGGAGAGAACATTTCTGAACTTGTGTTTAAACAAAAATACCCTAAAAGCGAGATTTACTTAGGCAAAACTAGACCCGATGAAATGTATTCAAATTCTTTGAAATGCTAAATAATAATACAGATCACAAATCTCCATTTTACTAATGTCTATCTTAGTTTGGATGAATAACCTGGCAGAACTTTTTTATTAAATCTTACAAACAGAAGACTGGAATCACAAAAACATACCGTCTCATCATTGCATATGGAGTGAAGCTGTGTGGCAAACATTACTGAGGTGAATGTGAGAAACAGCAGTCCCTCAAGGCACAAAAAGATGATAAGGATTACAGTCACAGGAGGTGAAAACCCGCTGCATTCTGCAGAGCAAAGGCATTGTTATAAACGATACATAGGATATTGAAACATTTGTGCATCAAACTTAGTACTTTAGTCACAAATAAGAAAAAGCCAGTAATTCACAAAAACATTAATTATGAAGGACGTTTTAAACCAAGAAAAGAATGATAAACAAAAGTAATTTTAATGAAATCTTGCACAGCTCCCAAAAGACCGTATCATGCATTGGATGAAGTAATCCATTTCGCTTACATTTCAAGATATCAAAGGCCAACTGGTCTAAACAGGAGCCTCTTCCTCAGGTAAATAATTTAGGTTGGCAAATCAAACAGAATTATACAGACAAACCAGGCTGAAGGGCTTATCTTTTTCCAACATTCTAATTTCATTACAACGAGGCAGCGAGAAGATCAACTCCTTTCTGGTTTACTGAATGTAAATTGATATCAGAGATCATAGTTGCGATCAAACTACATTAAAATACAAAAAAAATTGATTGCGTTTGAGGTCTACATTGGTGAAAGGGCAACCTTGTGAGAATCCAGAAATGAATAACTCAGCCTTGGATCATTATTGAACACCCAAGGTTAGCCATGTTATTTGAAGGGTAAAAATTTACCATTTACAATCAGCAAAATATTTATTTCACTGTTCCGTGCTCCTTTGACCACGACAATTTATTTAATTCTCCATTCCTAGAAGTTGCTCCTCCACATTCAAGTATACTTGGAACTTTGCCCAACAGCAGACAATGAATCTCAATTCTCATAATGTTTCTCTACAAGAAGATACAGAACAGCTTGCGTTCCAAGGTAGGAAACTAAGTTCCTATAAATTCTGAAAGGTGGAATTAAGAAGCTCAAAGAACAGACTTATTTTTTAAAAAACAGGGAACCATTTAATTAGTTACTATAATTTTACAGTCCATTCTGAAAATACTGCATTGGGAGTTCTGCCTAGCCTCATAAGCCAATTAAAAAAGGAATATTACTTATTGTATCAGACGTAAAATACTGAGTGTTTTGGAACTTTTGGCAAAGCACTGTTACAGTTGGAGAGCACAAAAGGTGTAATCTCCACATTGCTGAGTTTGTGATCTTAGGTGCAACATGCCTTAGGAAGGACTGAACACAAGTCAAATGGTTCGCCAATTGGGGGAATGGGAGAAAGAGAGAGACAAAACAATCAGAAGATAACAAGGATGAGGCTCTTCCTGCATTTGTAGAGGCCTGAGGTAAGTCAGCTGCGTACTAAATGTGCATAGGCTGAGAAACCAGGGGAGGTTGATTGGGTGAAATATTTTTTCAAACTCCCATTTTAATGGACTGAAGGTTTTACAAAAATAGTAAGTTTCTAAATGTAAAAACGACGAGTCATGAACCACACGATAGCTTATTCAAAGTAACACGGCTATTGACGACGCTCTGAAGAGGGCAACGTCTCACAAGCTCCTATATCAAAATGGAAAAAAAAATGACAGTATCCTCCCTAAGCCTAACAGGAACTTGGCTGAGGACAGGTGGTCATTTGACCTTTTCCTGGCTTTTGCTAATGCTGCTCGACAACTGGGCTGCCTGGAGACGTATGGTATGATATGCGTAACTCTTCCATCTGTTCATCCCAAAGGGGAAATGTTTAATTGAGTTAACAAGTAATCCAAAAGAGATTGACCAAAACGTAACCCTGATCAACACGTTATGCAAAGCATTGCACATTGTGAACGACACTCATTATCCACCTTGTTCTCTATTGCTAACTCTCTTCCCTTTTTCCCCTGTAACATCTCCCATTTATTCCAATCTATTCCTTTCAAGTAGGTAATAAATAATAATTTGATTTGTGGACAAATTAATTAGGGGTAGATTCATTCATTCTGCTGGGTTTGAAAGCTAAAATGCAGTTTTGATGCTCTATCCAGATCCACTTTCCCTTGTTCCTCCAGAGTTCTGCATTTTATTTCAGGAAGCCAATAAAATATGAAAACAGCTGATTCATTTTAATGCAGTTGTATCTGTACGCAGAGTCATGACACTCCAGGTACATTTTGCTGTTTTCACCATGTTGCTAGTACATTGAGGTCATAGACCAGAACTGCATTCAAAAGGACTTGTATTACATAGCTACACCGTTTCATGCTGTACTTTTCGTCAACACCTACCTTTGGTTGTCTATAAGCAGCCATACTAGTTATAATTAAAATAAAAACTCAAAACTTTTTCAAACCATTTTTGCGAACTCATAGGATGAACATGCATTAAATTTCCTTAAAGCTAGTTCTGCATTTTTAACACCAATGCAGAAGTGATATCCGACCTCAAACTACCCGAATTGTGATCTGCTTTGCTGAACGGAACAAAATGCATTAGGTTAATGGGTTATTTTGTAATTACCTGGTCAAGACTAGGTAAGGGGAGGCCAATTAGATCACATCGAGTGAGGCACATGGAAATTTAAAGGAGGTTTAAATTGATGCAAATACCAAAAAATTGATAGCTCAATTATATCTATTTGGATACTCACCACTCCACTGGTCTCTGATACAGAAGACAAACTGAAAGCAACACAATATCAGTGCATAGACTGAAATCAGTGCTACGTACATCTGCGAATGGAATTGAAAGAGGCACTTACAAGCAATGTCTTTCACAATCACTGCTAATTCATTGTCAAGCATTACCAGTCAGCAAAGACAAGCCATGTTGATTGAATAAAATGTAAGGTCAAATTCAGTATTTTTTTCCTCCTTTAAAATGATTACATACTATGTTATGAAAATAGAAAAAAAAGCTGATATTGCTCATTTTAACAAAATAATAATATTAAAGCTTCTGGACAGAATGATTGCTGATAGAAAAAACAACTAGAACTTGATTAGGTAATAATCATTTTTCCTCCAATTAATTTTTCAGGGAAAGAAAACTTCTTATAGATCACTGTGCATTGTGAAGTTCAAAACATCACTTCGAAATTCTGTCGAAAAATACAATAGCAACTCCACATTTTCCAATGATATGGCACCAATTGCAATCTACCCTCAAATACCCCATTCTTGATTGAGGTTAATCAATTAATGCAAAATTATCTATAACAGTGTATCCCATTTAATGTTGACCTGGAAACCACCTTGATGCCAATGCATCCACTGAATTATAACTTATAGCATTTGGTAAGCTATGGTCATTTTATTGCTCAGAACCTGCATTGAATTAAGTAGTTACTTACAGTGAAGAGTACAAAGAATTTTTGATTGTTCTCTCCAACGCAATTGTTTACCCAAGGGCAATGATGGTCCATTTTCCGAATGCACCGTTTACAAATACTGTTTTCAGAGATGAAGAAAAATAACTATTACACATAGCTAAGAAATTATACCCGATATTGAAGCAGGATGACTAAAGTACACTGAAAATCTTTACATTAATCTGTGTTTTTTCCCCCAAAATTTACATACAATACTGGATTATTTTCACAGCTGACACCTGCATTTTGGTTTCAACAAGATAACAAATGGAGATTATCAACCAATGCTCAAACTGCTTCTGATTTTAACAGGACTTCTGCAGTCATGGAAAAAGTTTATGATATTTTTAGTCAAATGTTTGAATCAAAATCATAATTGATTACCACAAACGTAGTATTTTTTTCTCAAAATGATTTCTGGGTTAGAAAATGATGTAACAATACAGTTTTGAGTATATAACAACTGATGCAGTAGAGCCAATCTATTTTCAATGCATGCAATACCTTAGGCCTCACTATGCCCGAAACATTTTAATTTGCTGTTTACAGCACCCAATTTCTCCCATCAACGCAAACACTTCTTTCAGTACCAGTTCTGCCGCTCAACTCTATATAATTCTAAATTTACAGCTACATATACAAAAACAAACAGATGTTAAGTTGTAGCCCTAGATCATTACACGACGTGCAAAGAAGCATTTAGCATTTGTGAAGGATTGGAGACGTGTACTGCTCAGGGCCATCGAAAGCTATGAACGAAGCAGATAAGTATTCGGATAAAGTACAAGCGTTAATCCAAAAAGAACAAGTGTGGCATATGAAATAATTACTCTTAAATAAAAATTAAATAAGTTCAAGAAAATTCACGTAAATAAATGGCACAGAACTTATAATCATAGTATATGAAATACAGGTAAATAAATGCTTCAGCAATTTTCAATCCGTGTATGCGTTGTTCATTTGTTTGTGTCGACATTCCACTAATGTCAACTAGGACTGTACTAGAATACAATGGAGAAGGACCATGCTGGGGTAGTTATGAACTAATTTATTTATCTCTCACACAACTCAGGTATAACCAATGTTTCTGATAGGCAATTTTACATCCCCCATCCAATGAGAGCTTATTTATTTGGATTTCGACAGGTGCTCTCAGACCCTGAGGGAGATTGAAAAGGATGATGGATACTGATTAGAAGCATAGATTGCGGTTTTAAAAATTAATCAAATACGTTTTGCTGTATTCAGAGAAAGCTGAAAACAAAACTGACTATAGGGCTTTAGGAAATGGATCAGTACGCACAAATAAAATTACACTCATCTCCATTCTGCTCTGAATCAGACTTGTCAAGGAAATCTGTGGACAAACTGAGTATATCCAGTCGATTAAAAAATTAGATTGAAGAGCAGGCTTTCACAAAAGGCTTCATGCTCAAGGACATCAACCACAAGTATCACATGTGACTAGAGGCATGAGTAATGTGAGGTGCAAAGAAATTGTCCTACAGACATCAATTAATGCAACAATAAAATCTTCTGCAAAACTATAATTAAATGAGGGTTTGATTTAAACTTCATTGTGCTCTTTTGCACTAAGCTTTTGTAACTCCAGAACAAAGCACTGAAAGTACACATTATGTGGTTCATCTTACCAGGTACAAAACAAATAGTCAGAATTTGATATAGTGAATAGAACTCAAACTAACCTGACATGTTTGAAAACAGCAGTAATTAGGATTGGAGCTTTTCAAAATTAGTATTAAGGGCAAGGTTTCTTTCTTTCCAAGCAAAGTCAGTGCAAATTCCACTGAATTTTCCAAATCAGCTCCAACTCATGACGTTAAAATATTTTTTCTTACAAAAACATAGACACGTTTAACAATAATAGATTGCCTCACCAAAGAATGTCAATGTCACAACGGTCAGCCAGGTACATTGTTCTTCAAAATGCTTTTGACCCAGCGGAATATTTCAGAGAATGGAAGGTTAACAGTTGCCTGTATACATTTTCTAACCGGTGTACCTCTAATCAAGTGACTGCTTTTGGAAACATCTTGATTTAATATGTGTAAGCAATTTGACTTTATTTTCTGCTCCAATACTTCTTTGGCTAAGAAGGAAACACTAACAGCCCTATGGTTTCTAGAGTTGGTTAGTTGGTTGGTCACTGATTTGCAAAGAAAAACAAAAATACCAAACCTTTAGACATTCATTCACGATCCAGTTGAGTACAGATAAAAACACACAGAAAAAAAAGCCTAGATGGAATAAAGAAACAGATATGATTGCAATGACTCTACCTAGTAGTGATGGTAATGTTTACTGGCTTTTTATATACAGTGTACAGTACCTGCAATGGTGGGCACGCTCTGGCTTGATACTGCAACATTTTGGGCACTTATAGATCACCTCCCCTGGCTTCAGCTGCAAGCTCTCCATATACTCCTTAGTGGCATTTCCCTTAGGCACAGCACCCTGTGGAAGGGAATGACAAAACACAATTAACAAATAAAAATCGGGAGCAACGGGCAACAAAGAATCGTAATACTTGAATCATAAACCCTGGACCCAAACTGAATATTAATACCAACAAGAATTAGTCTTTACCCCGTCTTTATTATTTATAGTCCTGTAGCTCAGCGGTTAGAGCACTCGCCTTGCAAGCGAAACACCTGGGTTCAATTCCAGGCAGAGGGCGAAACCTTGGGCAAGTTTCCTGACTCCACACGCCTGATACTAATCCCTCCGAAAAACAAAAACGATAATAAATTGTCATTTTCAATCCACGACTGTTTGTGGGGACACTGCTGTGCGCAATTGGCTGCCGCGTTTCACCCACAAATATACGGTCAATTCACTTTACAGCATATTCTGTGAAGCGCTTTGAGACGTCTAGAAGACATGAAAAGCGCTATATCAAATGCAAGGATTATTATAGTGCACAATGACATTCTTTATTTATAAATTTTAGAGGGTTCTAAAATCTCATTTGCTGACCGTGTCCACAAGAGTAAAAATCAGAGACGTAAACCTCTTGAGTGGACAGTACTGTAGTTTCCTATAATGGACAATATTTCTAAGATGTTTTGCCTTTAGCACTGAGGTATTAAATCAAAGCCTTGTATCCTTCCCAAGTAGTTTATACACACACATTACTACAATCAAAGAGAAAAATATATTTTTCCATTGTACTAATTAATCATATAATAAGTCAATCAGTAAATGTACTTGCCAGAATAAAGATGAGCAACTCCATTGAATAAAATATGTGTAATCTAAAGCCAGTACTTATTTTACAGTTTGGCTTTACGTTTCAAAAGCTCATGTGCCAATGGTTGTGCTTTCAACACATGTTGGCAACAGTATATACACCATAAAGATTCCCAATCCACACTGTTTACCAAACCTTATAAAACAAAAAGTGACACAGAGACTGTTACAAATTGCAAACTGCACAAAAATCAGCCTTTCTGGACTTTGTGACAGAATCAGTATTACTGAATCAGCATATAATTTTTTTTCTGAACCTTTTCTGTTTAAAATGTAGTGGCAAAATTAATGAGTTAATAATCTTTTTGCTAAGTGCCTACAATTGGCACTCGGAAACCAAGATTACATAATGTCCTCCCAACGCGAAAGTCGTTATATAAATGCAACTTGTTGTTCTTGTTTTATGTGCCTGAGCTGTTTGCTTCCAGTCTGGCAAGATATTAAATTCACATACTTTATATCTGATAGAAAAACGCAAGTAAAATCTAGATCGGAAATCTTTTTCACTGGAACTCTGAATAGTTCTTCTCCTCTTCCTTGAGGCTAACTGTAGAATCCCCGACTGCTGATTGAGCTGACATTAGTTAACTCAGCACAACCAGGGATCAAAAACATTTCTCAGTCTGTACTGCTCACTGTGCTCCAATTAGTTTTCTTTTGCAAATGTGTTTGAAGAGAATGTTATGCTTTGAATAACCTAAACCTAACTCAATCAATAAAACAGGGATTAGGATTGATGCATCATAAACAATGAAACAAGGACATGATCCAAAAAGGAAAACTAGTGTATCATTAAATTTATATTTTACTTTTCCTACCAATTATTTATCAAAGTACTATTTAACAATCTGTATGAGTAGATTGTATTATGAAAACGAACAGGATATGATTTATCATCTATGACTGGAAAAAAAAGCACCAACACAGACTTGATGGGCTGAATGGCCTGTTTCTGTGCTGTAAGTTTCTCTGAAACATCATTGATACTTTTCTTCAGTCTAACATTTAACAGCTTAAAGTGAGGAAGTTGAGAAAAATTGCTTTATGGGATTAATGTTTTTATTCTACGTGATAAAAATGTCAACAATTCAAACTCTATTGGAACTAGAAATAACACCAAAGTTAGTCATTTTCATGTAGATAGCGATATTTCATAAAGCGTGGTGTTCAATTAAATTCTTGTACTTACCGGGTCTGTCAACATAGTTCGCAGATGGGATGAAAGAGCCAGCATTGCCAGACTGTTAAATACAATGCCATTTATTAGCGAGTACCAGAAGTTTTTGGAAGGCAACAACATTACAAAAGTCACAACAAAGTCTGCATAGAAAACCAGGAGCCAAGTTATCACAGCGCAGATCGTCCCACATGGGTCACGGATGAACCAGATCTTATCCACTATTTCTAAGTCAGCGGACGGACACTCAAAGTCTTCGTCGGAGCTTGGCAGTGGGTGATGCTCAACATCCCGGAATCTATGCCCTGAAGACTGCATGATCTGTCAGTCTGGCCTGCAAAGAAAAAGACATGCATATGCACACACATGTTGACAAGAGCGTAGTAAATGTCAGTCCTCATTATACAAGCTAACTTTTAAAAAATTGCATTGTATGGCATTTCAGTTTTTAAAAAANGATTTTTTCGATGATGTCAATATTTTTTGAGCTCACAAGTCATGATAACAACTTTAGGTAAAATGTTTATTACCATTACTTACAATTTCCATTACAAATTTGAAGCAAAACCTGCCTTTTTATGCAACGTGTTTCCTTATGTCATGTACATAGAGTGAATTTTAGAGAGTGTCATTAATTCAGAAATCTAGACCTTCCACATTTATAGGAAATTACACAAACCATTAGAAGTATCAATACACTTGCAGTTATTTCCCTCTGAGAAAGCCAGGCAAATGTATTAACTTAAAGGTCTTAGAGAGAGAAAATACTTATACTCAATTTGTTCTTAATGAGGGATTTTGTTGCTAATGGAACATCTCAAAGTGTGCACAGTTGCGATTCATTTTCATACCAAATATTTTTGCAGCCTCTTTTAATGTTTGCTAATTAAGCACTATTAATCTGGTCTAAATTAAAACCTAGGTGCCAAAGATGAAAGGTTAATACTAACCCACTTCACTGCTCTGTCACCACCAGTACTCCATTTGGAGCCATGTACAAATTTAAGTAAAATAAATTCTGCAAATGTATTATAAATATACTGTAAATAATCCTTGCTTTGAAGTACATATGTTGGCATCTATAGTACAATTGCAAATAAAACCTTTATAGCACAAATCTTACCTAATTATTGCAAAATGTTCCATGTAGTTGTTACTAAATCAAAACTGTTCTGCTGAATTCTTTTGAAAGACCTGGAAGGAATATAAACATTTGTCAGTCACGACCAAAATCTATTATTCAGTGTGGTTCTTATGTTAAATAAACTTTTGGATGTGAAATAGCAATGCTAATATGCTTTTCATAAAGAGAACCCATTCAAAGCATTGAAACTTTCCTTTGATTTATAAGAATAATCCTTGCATTTAATATAACCTCCTATCACATCATTGAGATGCCTCAAAACGCTTCACAAAATATACTGTAAAGTGAATTGACAGTATATTTATTTAGCACCTGCATTTCTGTTAATTCCTCATTTAGTTTCCTCGATCAATGTTCAGCCAAGCCTTGGATGTTAGCCTGAGGATTTTTCTAATCCTGAACTGGTATTAGCACAGATGTTAAAGAGATGCTTGCAACTTCCACCCCAGCTCCCTTAGCTAAAGAGTGTGGAACGGAAATGGGAGAAGCATAATAAAATTCAGTTCTTAAAGGAAATACACTTTTCTGCATAAGTGGAAAACTGCAGCTGTGGTTATAGTTATTGCTGGTTAAAAATATAAATACAAGGATGCTGCTTGGTAGCTGTATGTGCGTGCTATGGGGTGAAGCTACCATGCTCACACTAACAAGTATGCAAGAATAGAGAAATAGGAAAACAGTCATGGAAATGTAAGCTGCCAAGACCATTAACTTGCTCTATCATCCATTGTAAGGCTTTGTTCATGTTGGAGAATACAGTGCATATCTATGTGCTTCTTCAGAAATAAGGAGAGACCTGAAAACAATCCTGTATACTGTTTGCTTTCTGGGACTGCCCATCGGAACATGAAAGCAAAAATCAGTAAGCTGGATGTCATCATCTGAGAATACGGTGGACAGCAGAGAACAGCAGAGCCGCCAGTTTCACAGGCTCGAGTTTGTGATTCCTACATCTCAAACCTCGATGGACTAGCAAAATGTCTGCTTAAACTGTCTGTAACCTAGCAATCTCCTGGGATCGCATTGCTTCCTAGCAGCAAAGCTTTATTTCCTGAAATTCTCCTGCCTCATTGTAAGTCCCAGCCTTGGCAAAATAAATGCAGTACAACACTTTGTGGGCCTTGGCAATCTGCTTGTCACGCCCATATTCAACTTTAAGCTTTACTGTTTCTACATTTGTAAATTAGGATACAAAATGGTTAATTGTATCATAAAAAAAATTATGGTCAGACTTACACAATAATTTAAGAGTGGTAAAATCATCCCTGTGAGTAAATAATTTTAAAATGACCATTTTTGCATTCAGTTTTCATTGGCAAACTATAAGATTAAAAATTATTTTACAAACAGGAAAATCAACAGAGGAAACAGGTTACCGGAAAGGCCAAGATACTAGACCCAGTTGAGAAATTGGGAAGACAGTAAGGTTAGTATTTCAGAAGTGATCAAATGGGCCAGTGAGACTTAGGAACATCTCTTAGGATTTTAGGAAAATTCATGTAAAGTCAACAATGCTGTGTGCAATTGGATGCCGCGTTTCACCCCAAAATATACAGTTACTCCACTTTACAATATTTTCTGTGAAGCACTTTGAGACGTTTCGACTAAAACACCACTGTCATTTGTGCTGTCATTTATCGAAAAGATTTCCTTTCCCACCCCAAATATAGTTGATAGCACCTCGGTTCACCAAGAGACAGATTCATAAAGCACAAAGACAGACTTCTTTATCATAATTTTTCTGATTAAGATGGTTAAACAAACTATTTTTGCCTGTGAGATTTCTGTCTTGCCTTTTTCTTGTCATAGTTCATTTCTGTTATAAGCACAATAATGAAGGCACAGTGTGTAACCTGAGTAGCTTCGGGAAGAAATCAGTTGTATGTTTAATAACTAAATGGCACTCAAGGTCAGAATCCGGAAATAAAATGCACGAGTCAAATTGAAGAATGTTGCTCAACGTTTTCAGATATCTCAAAGCAGTTTAAAATCACACAACAAATTTCTCTGCTTTTTTTTTGTCTCCTTTGTATGTTTAATTTAGAATTTTTTAAAAAAATCTATTTTAAAAATAACTGTTTTTAATCCTTTTCTAATCTCACAGACAACTACAACAACAAATTACATTTGTACAGCGCCTTTCACGTCGGAAGGACGTCCTAAGGCTCTGGACAGTTAGGAGTGGGGATTGGAATCAAGGGGGTTGGAGGGTAGGGACAGTGGGGGTGGGATGTGGTCGTAGGCACAGTCAAAGAGGAAGGTCTTGAGATGGGCTTTGATGGAGGCGAGACAGGAGAAATTCGGGGATGGAGTTCCAGAGGATGGGGGCAGAAAAGCTGAACACCCATCCGCCAAGCGTGGGCCGGGGAGGGCGGGGGAAATGGAGCGGGCAAGTGCCTGCCGAACAGAGGGAGCGGCCAGGTGTGGTGTTAAGAGATCGCAGAGGTAGGGAGGAGCGTGACTGTAGGAAGCTCTAAAAGTGAGGATGAGAATTTTAAACTCGATCCTCTGAGGGATACATTTATTATTGTTTGGAGGAAATATATTTGGAAGAAATGATATGAAAATAATCTGAAAAGACAGAGATTATAACATTGCATTATATTTTTGATGGGATTAATTCCTGTTGGTTAGTTACACATTTCAAGCTACGTAGCCTTGAAGCAGCTGACAACAGGATGCATTTCACTATTTGTTTGCAGAGCAGCTCAGCCAACTGCATCTTTTAGCCTTGAGTCAGCACGGATTAATTTATTTTAGCCTTCCGAAAAACACAATAAAATACATTTCAAATTTCAGCACCTCAAACCATAAAATGCAATTGCTCTACCTTTCATCCGACCAACTAACTCTCACTAATCAGGGCTTGCCCTGCAGTGCATAACAAGAGCCCTTCAGTACAAAGCATGTCACAGTTTGCGAGCCGCAGACTCAATTGCTGAACCTTGGATTTAGATAATCTGTTGTGAACTGTACAACTAAGAAACTGAGGGAGGAGTCTGGAATATTATTAAGCTATTTGACCTTATCCATCAGACTGCATGGGTTATTTGTGAATCTAACACAAATTATATGGTAAAAGGTGACAACCAAAACTTCAAAAGCACTTAGTGGGATTCATTTGCTGCTAATTTTCCACAATTTTTTGCCCGTGGCGTTTTCCTAACATTAATAACCTGATGGTAAAGACGCAAACAGCTGTCTATTGGATTTTTGCTTAGCATTACTCCTGACACAAATCAGAGAATAAAAATTCACTGGCATTCCAGGGCAATGCAAGTGCCACTTCACTGGAGATGTACTTCAGGCAAGTTCTTGATTGCCCAACTAGGTGAATGGCAAAGTCCTCTGATACTAATTGTAAATAACAAGCTCTAACCCCTGGCTAGTAGTCACTTAAAAAGCCTTATTTACTGGCAAACATAGGAAGCAGTGTTTTAGTTGGATATATTACGTATAGATAAAATTCATAAAATTACAAGAGGAAGAGCTAAATGAGAATTATAGGGATATTGGCGATTTTCTTCCTCTCTCATCTTGCAATCATACCTTGGTTCATAAAGTAACCGAAGGTGCAGTTTAGATAATAATAATAACCCCTGCATTTGATATAGCGCCTTATCATGTCTTCTGAGACATCTCGAAGTGCTTCACATAAAATATTGTAAAATGAATTCACTGTCTATTCTGTGGGAGATACAAAGGCACTAAAGCGCTATTCTACGATTACAGTTAATGGAGACAGTTGCTATTGATTACACTGGAGTCATCTGTAGAGGGCAGAAAGCACTATTGATTTTTTTTCTGGTTGGAACAGATGCACAGTACAACAAATCTGAATCGGTGCCGATTTAAAGCAGATTGTGCTACCCTTTATTTGAGGTACATTATTATTAAATAAAGTTACCTAAAACTGGAAAATAGCTGATGGCTTTTACAGCTTTGTCACTTGCAATGCAATTCATTTTAAGGCGACATTTGTGATGTGCAAAGATAACCGATCTAGGAATTTGCAATAACATTTTCACTCTGACACATAATTCCACCACTGACCACCATTCAATGTGTCCTGGGTAATAATTACAGGAATATGCAATTTACGAGGGAACTAAACCAAACAGCAACAAAATAAAGAGTCTGCAAGTCAAATTATAAGAAAACATTAGATTGCCTTTTGTTCATCAATGCCTGAAAGGGCTTGAATTTGAACACGAGCAAGTAATCCTTCAGACCAGAAGAGCAAATTTTTTTCAAATCAAATCCATCATAAAAATAGCCTAATGCACATTGGTTCTTGTGTCCTGTGCAATTATGGATCATTTATCCCCAAAAAGAAGACAAGTTGCTCTTCCTAATTAAGAATATACACAATATAATCAGGTCACTGTGACATTGAGTAGTTATAAGTACACTGTCTAAACCAGGAAGGTAATCAATCCTAGATTCATCTGTGCAGTGGGTAACTAACCTAAGTTACTTTCTGAACAAATCACCTGATTTAAGTCTTCAACTTCAGTATTATGAAGCCAAAGATACACTAATTCCAGTCAAATAGCAAGCTTTTCCAACAATATACGGCAAATTTTATGGTCTAATGATTCCTCCCACATGCATTTGCCACAAGAGATATTATGGTAGTGGCCAAGTTAATCAAGTTCCATAAATGAAATGTCAGAAATATTTGATAAGTTGGGAAAACCACAATATCTTCCTCTTATGTCTGCAAATAACTTAAAATGTTAAAAAAGTTAGAAGTTATGTATGAGATGTGTCCATTTGAATTAGGTGATAGCGTACTTGCAGAGAAAAAAGTTCAATTTCATATTAAAGAGGGGGGAAAGGAACAAAATGGAGTTTCTAATACTGATGCAGACCACTTTGCAAGAACATGCTTGCTAGACACAGGAAGCTAAGCACCAATTTATAATGTAGGCAAATCTTACCAAACGTTTCTACTGAGTAGTTGCAAAATAGTCAAGGTATTTTAATTAAAGTTATAACATTATATACTGTATCATATGTAGCATTTCTTATTCGCAGATAATTATTC